AGGAGATGCTGTTGTGCCTACTTTCCCTCTTACACAGACATCTCTCCTCACTCTTATCTGGCCTTTATTGTCTCTTTTGCATTCATTCAATGAATTCATATCTGTTTCAGATATTTTTGCACCATCACACTTCTCACGTCTTTTCTGTACCTGGGTTGCATCTTTTCAGCAGTAGTTTTGCTTTTCCTTGATATGATCTTCCCATATCACAGTATTTACATCCCCCAAACTGCTGCTACTCCACCACAGTTAACTTTCCCCTGCATGTAGCCCCAGATGATGTTAAGGGAATAAAATGTAAAATTAGATGCCTCATGTTTTTAATTAATATACCACTGCAGTTCTCTTAATATCATAGCTTCTGGTCTCTGGTCCACGTGTAACTGACCTGTTCCCTACAGCTAAGCATTCTGTATACTTGAATAGAACATTACCTTCTGGTTGGCATCCATTTCAAACATGCTTCCATACAGAAGAAGTTGCTAAAGACTGCTGGACTGGATGCCACAATAATGTGTGAAGTTTTAATTTTATTTGGAGTAAAGAGTTTCAGGAAATCTATTTGCAAGTGCAATATAAAGAAGTAAATAAATAGTGCTGATTACACTGCCCCTATGCCTCCATGCCTCCAAAACACAAAGTGCTGCTTTCCAGGATGAAGTATTTCTTTTATCTTCGTGTCATGATGACCTTTTTGTCCCTCTGTGGCAGTGCTTCTATACAACTTGCAGCTTTCCTAAAGATGTTGTAAAGGGGAATTTCTAATGCCTATGTTGTATGTTTGAAAATAAGCACAGCTTGAGACCAAAGGTGAATGCAAATATATTATGTTCTTCCATGCTGTTCTATTCACGTTTTACACAGATTTCACAATGAGAAGCAATTGCAAATGGAAATACTTCTGAAATGCACTGCACAGACGTGCCATAGAGTAGCTATCTAGATAGGCAAATGGAAAAATACAAGTTAGGATCAGTGTTCACCATTGGCAGTGCACCAGATCATTAGTGTATTCTGCCATGAAAACTTTCACTTTCATTTGTCAATTCCTTCTCTCTGATTTTACTCTCCTCCTTCTCCTATCTTCTTTTCAGGACTCCCAAACCCTCATGCAGAAAATGTGACTTCAGCACACAGAGAGGAAAGAATCTCAATCAGTGTCACTGTGACTTTGCTGGTCCTTTTGCAGGAACAGGTGTCAGCAGAAGCACGGCAGGAGCACTGCAGAAGGACTGACTGCTCGTCCGTGCTGCACTGCTCAGCTCCGTGTTCAGGTGGAGCCTTGAGTCCCTCTGTCCCTCTCTTATGAGCTCCAGATAGGCTCACTCTGATTTAGCCCCACTGCCTCCTGCAAGAAAGCAGTCTTTTTGGGGCAGTCTTGCTGGCTACCATCACTACTTCTTACCTGAAGGAATCTTTCAATTCCAAGCATTCATTCTCCCAGGTTCTACAAAACCAACATGCTAAATCCAAGAGCTGCTCTCCCAAATGCTTGCTACTGCTGTACATCTCACAGTTACTGAGAAACCAGATTGTATATGATTAACTTGCCAATATTAATGTTTGCATGTTGTTTTAACCCATGCCAAGGCCTCTCTCTTTCTCAGACTTCTGCAAGAAATAATTTTTAACTACTCACTCTGCCTACCTTTTACTGAAAAGCAGTAGTAGCACACAGTACTTGACTGTCACAGGGAGAGTGACAGGGCTCTACATAGATTATGAAGGGACCAATGAGTGTACTTCCATTCAATAAGTCTGAGGACTTCGATTCATTTACACAAGTATGAAGAAACCAGGAAATTTAACACTAGCATTGAGTATTCAGTGCCACAGTAATGTCCCACAAATGTGATAGAATCATAATAAACCATGAAATAAAGGAGAAACTAGGAAGTTCAAAATAGAACCAGCCAGCATGCTCTGTCCATCTTCATGACTGTCTCCTTTTCATATGGGCCACCAAATCCATCTTTGGGGGAATTTTCAATCAGACACCTAGATCATCAGCTGCTGGGACTGAAGGATGTTTCTGGACAGGATTCCTTGATTTTGGAATGCTTTTCCCATTTATCATGGTAAGTGACTAACCACTAATGTTAGTGACTAGTCACTGATGTTTTGAACATGATTCCACACGCCAGATCATGATATAATTATTTGTTTACACTCTTTCATCAGTATTGCAGCAGTTAGATTTCTAATTAATGAAATCATGATCAATGATTCAAGGAGAATCAAGTAGAATCAAATGAAAATGTCCTTATTTATCTTTCTCTGGTTTATTTCCAGGAAAACCTCCACTCTTCCTGCTTCTTTATTTTTACTGAGATCTTCATCTACCTCCTCCTTTCAGAGACGAAGGGTGCAATTATGAAATTAACGAAGAATTTGCCATTTTACATTTTAGGATGAGACTTCATTCCATTACAGGAAGTACTTGTGAGGAACGTACCACCTACATTAGCTTCGAGCTGGTCGGAAGAAGAGCTATGTTTTTAGTACGGTCAGTAAGGACTTTAATGTTCGTAGAGTGCAAGATGAAACAAAGGCAAAATATGTTTGTAATTATTGGAAAAGATTTGAATACTTCTTCATAGACACAAGTGGAATCTTCATCAATGGAAGACATTCTCATCACCATAAAAACCTGATAGAAGTTAGTAACTGATAAGTGATCATGACATAAAATATGAGCTACGCTAAATTTAAAGATTTCACTTAGGATCCTAAAAGTTTTCTTTAGTTCCAGTCTCCATGATTTTGTTTTTCAGAATTTCATTTTGAGTTTTTAATGATAGCAAACCTGAAATATCAAACCCAACCTAGGATAAACCGCTGGGCTCCTCTCAGAGGAGGCTGGAAGGACAATGGATCGTAAATAGGATTTCTTCTTCGTGGAATTTGAAAAAAAAGTCAGGCCTGATTATTTAGGTGAAAGTAGAAATGAGTCAGTCAGCTTTGCATTCCTGATACAATAGAGCAGTTTTGTTGAGTCACAAAGCATACAATTATCACAGCCACAGTTACTCATTCGGTATTCTGACTCGTAACCTGCTTCCTACCACCGTGAGCAGCTCTCCAGGAGTTGGACAGTTGTGCTGTGCAGTGCAACCACTGAGCCAGCACACACGGAGAGAGCAGGAGGAGGGAGCTGGCAGAATGTTGTGGTCATTTGTAGGGTTTGTAAGGTTTGCTAGTTTCCAGCTGCTATTAATTCCTTTAGGAGAACTGCAGTACTGAACAGTTATAAAGCAGCACAAATACAAAGGACACAGCAGAGTGCAATAAAGGTGTTTCATGCACAGGGCACAAGGAGAAGCCTGTCCTCATTTCACTTATTCTTTAGAAAGGAACAGTAAAAGTCTCCTGATCACATTAAATTTGCTGATAAAATGGAACAGTACTATTCTATAAAATCAAGTGTAGCTCAGAAACTCCAGAAAGACCCAAAAATGTCAGAGAAATGTTACTGCTATTTAGTAATTCACAGTAATTCCTGCTACTTGAGAAATTGCTGCTATTTGAGATCCTCAGCAATTATTTGGGATGGAGAATAGGAATCACATAGAAAACCCTACACTTTGATATGAATTGAGAAAATGTACGTATGCAATAAGCAGAAAACATTACAATTTTAAAACAATTTCAAAAATGAATTAATAGCTATGCTGCTTCTGTTTTTGTACAGTCCAAATGCTGCTGTTACTGGCGTTCAAGAGAAAACACAAAAATGCCAAATCATTCTAAATGCTACAGCAAGCCAGGAAAAACAGCTTTGCTACGCATTGTATAGGAACACTTGCAATTACACAAGTAACTAAGGTTTTATTATTAACATCTTCTCTCTCTTTTCTTTAGACTCACTGCATTTGCAGTAAAATCCTCTGTCAATAATTGCATTCTGTGTTTTATGAGCTAGAAGGCCCGAGCTTAGGAATTTACTGATGGCTCCAGCATAACCCCACCGTCACATCCACACCCAGCCCAAACCTTGGCAGTGGAGGAATGTCCCCTGGCATGACTTAGAGAAAGCAGAAGACACTGAAAGCAGGAACAGCACAGGACATCAGACATACAACAGCCCCAGGCAAACCTCTTTTTTCCAAACGTGGTCTGTAGAAGAAGCCAAGTGAAGCCACGTTTCAGGTTTCACATCACCAATGTGGAGCCTCTGGGAACCAAAGGTGACTTTCCAACGGATCAACAGATGCAGCACTGGATTTGGAGCTGTTCTGTTTCTGTTATGGTCAGAGCTGAAGCCTGAGGGATGAGGAACCCAGCTGTGCCACCCTACCTCATTAAGGAGCATTTGCTCACTTTGATTACTCTCACAAGGAAGTGGATTTTAGTTACTGGTTGGGTTGGCATGGAGCCTTCAGGAAGAGACACTCCATTCCAAAGGCCTCTGCCAGGGCACAACATCTCCTGGTGCCTTCTCACCATCCCTGGCCAAGTCTCACAACCACAAGACAAGAAATATTCTTCCTTGGGACAGTCTAAATGGTACATAAGTCAGAACAACTGAATTAAGATTTGAAATGTGCTACTTCTATCTCAAGCCCAATGAAGACCTGTGTGTTTGAGAATTTGCCCATTTTTTTCATCTAATAAAAGCTGTTTACTATGCCGGTGAATCTGAAACCGAATACAAAATCTTTACTGCTTCATAAACACAAATACCTAAATATTTTGCTAGTTATTTTTTCCACTGAGCAGATTATAGTGGATGTTGCTCAGCTCTTATCACTGAAATAAAATATTTCACTGGTCTTGGAAAACTACTTGGATGTTTTTTTTCCTGAGCTCTCCTTTCTCTTTCCAAAGGCCAGCTACAAACTTCCTCTGTTTTGAAACCTTCCCCCTGCAGGCTGGACTAGATGCAATTATTTCCTGAAATATTTAATCCAGCATTGTTAACTTTGTCCAGCTGAAGTAAATATAAGTGAGCAAAGACGAAATAGTAAAAATTTAACCCTGCTCCCTGCAGCCAAATGCCTACTGCCATAGCAGCAGGAATGAGACAGACACAGAAGCCAAGTGATAACACAGACACTCAGTGCACTGGACAACCAGCTCCTGAGCTAGAGATGACCGGCTTCCTGTCAGACCTGGTGAGTACATGGCGAGGCACTGACATCTGGGATATTTTTGTATGCTATCAGTGCATGAAAGAAAACAAAATCACTCTCTCTCTCAGAACAACAAGGCTCCTATTTGCAAAAAGTACTTTGGAAGTGATTCTACACACTTTTTCAGGGTATTGCAGATGTTTGCACTTCGCTCTGTCTTCCATCTTTGTCAGAGCCTGCCTGCAAAATCCTTGAACAAGTGAGATGCTTCTGGAGAATGAGAGGCACAATTAAGGAGCAGTCTGATGCAGCTATGAGCTTAAGATCTTCTACTTCTGCAGGTACAATACCAGGGACTCTTCCGAATGGTCATTGTCCTGGGAATAGGTGGAACATTCCAAATTGGCTTTCAAATTTCTACAATCACCTACATGAATCAGGTAGGTAAAAGCTCACATAGACTGGTAAATGGCATCGCCACATCCCTTTCTTGGCATGCTCCTCTCTGATTGTTAGCAAGGATTTAATCACTATATTCTCCTCTTATGATTAATTCCCATTACTATGCTATTGTGTAAAGTAGAACATGTGAAACTGTTGAAAACAGAAGAAAATAGAGAGATCTGCAACTTGTTGTTAATAGAACTGTTCCTCAAAAAAAGCACTGACAGGTGTGCTGCAAGTTTACAGGGAGACGGATGTCCCATGTGGCTACTCCAGTGATACCATATGACACTCTCAGAGCTTACCCATCTTCACATAGGGAAGTCAAACAGAACAAGTGAACTGTGCTCTAACTGCTTCTCTCCACTGACCACAGGTAAAACTTCCATTTGAGACACTGGAACTTAAGGGAAGACATTATCATTTAGTAGAAATCACCTTATGGCAGAAGTGTTACTTTCAGGCTTGAGAGCACAGAGTTCTAAGTCAGAAAGGATTTAGAAACTGCAGTGATCAGGTGCAGTTCCTCATTACAGGTCTGTGTCTTAGCACCTCAAATTTCAAGGACAGCCAAGCAAAGAATGACCTCCTAGTAACAGGGAATCAACGTAGCATACTCTATTACTTCATGCCTCTTGGCTAATGCAAACTTTTAGAGTCTATATGAAATAGAGACTTTATCTAAAGGAACAAAGTTATGTTATAAATGTAATAAAATACATGCTGTGGAGTCAAAGTTATTGTTAATGATCCTTTTTTCTCTGTCTCAGCATGTTAAGGCTTTCATTAATGAAACCTGGCTGGAGCGATACGGCTACCCCATCCATCAGGATAACCTCTTGTTCCTGTGGTCTCTCATCGTGTCCATCCTTGGTATAGGAGGTCTCTTGGGTGCTTCAGGAAGTAGATACCTGACTGTCAAGTATGGCAAGTATGTATTTTTAATGAGAATTTGTCAACTGAATCTTAATTTAAGGAAATTACTGTTGAGTTTTTTAAAGTTTTTTAAATGTGAGATGGATTTAAAGGTACAGTAACAGCAGTACACAGCCAGCTTGGCAGTGATGCCAAGTTGCTGCTTCTTGCCTGTATCCTGTGGCACTAGCTAACCAATTATGTTTCCAGCCTGCCACACGAGATGCAGTTACTGAGGCTGGATTCAACTGGAAAAGTAGCTCCCAGCTGAAGGCAGAGGGGTTTTCTGGAGATGCTACTCGCAGCACAGCAGCGTTGAGATGCTCCTAGGTGCTACATCAATGCCACATTGCTCCCCTCCTCAATTTCACTCTCCCTGGTTTACTGGGAAATGAACTTCAACGTGTGACCCAGAAGGGACACGGTACAGGCTGCAGGTCCTGTCCCAGCAGTCACAGTGCCCACACATGCCTTCCAGGGAATTTGGAAGTAACCTTTTTTCCAGTGCCTTTTTCTGCCAACCTTGGCTATAGCGAATTCTCCCTGTTCAGATCCTGAGCTAGCTGGATGACAATATAACTCTGTGTAAGAGGGGCACAGAGTGTCCAGAGCCAATAGTGTAGAAGGACCTATATTGTGTGGGACCATACATGCATAACTTGACAAACTTAGCAAGATGACTTCACCCTGTGCTCCTGTGTTGCAGGAACTCAAATGCCATTTCTCTCCTGATCTACAAAAATGTTTTATTTGCTTGCATTTACAGAAAAAAATGCCTCCTGTGCAACAATCTATTAATGATAATTGCAGCATCTATCATGGGCTGCAGCAAAATGTCCAAGTCCTTCGAGATGATTCTCATTGGACGCTTCCTATGTGGTGTAAGTGTAGGTAAGTGATTTCTCCCACAGGTTAAATATTACATCCTTATTCAAGATAGATAACCTTTCACTAAGAGAATTTAAAGTCCATACATCTTTGTCAGAAGATATTCTACATCAACCAACTGTAAGGAGTACAGTTATAAATAATTTTGTAGATACCAAATTAAATTGAGCTTTGCCAAGTGCATAAATATCCAGAGCTGTCACAAATGTTCTGACACGATTGAAAACTTTTCTAGTGGAGAAATAGATATAGTATTACTTTAATTTTGGTGGACAGTATTCAGAATTGTATGGAATACAGTTTAAATCTAGTCCTCTCATTTGGCTTCAGAGAAACAGACCATTCACAGTCATGGCCGTTTCATTTTGACTCTGAGCATATTTCAGGAATGCTCTACAAGGGTGTTCAACCTGCTTCAGAGCAGTAAGTCCTTGGGGTTAGTGAAAGGAGCTGGACACAGTCCAGCAAAATCACTGCCTGCAGGTAGTCCATGTGCAGGGAAAATAACCTGTGCTCGTGTCAGTACCTCTTGTATTTGTTTCCTACACAAAATGTTGCTTTTCCATTTAGTTTTGGATATTCGCAAGGATGCCTTTTTTTTTTTTTTTTTTTTTTTTTAAACTTATTTAAATAAGTGTCTATTTTTCAAATAACCAAGTTCTGTAAATTACTGACATACAGATGTATTGAAGAACGTTATTTCAAGGACTGCTCAGCCACGGTCACCCTGCTATGATCTAGAACCCACATCTGGTGTCATGTAAAGACCTAATTGTTGCTATGGAGACTGCACATCTCCACCATTTTGCCAACACATAGAGACAGGAGCGGACACTGTTTTCAAACCAGATTAGAGGGGCTGTGACTATCATATCAAGAAAATACTCTAGTTCACAGACTAGATTTCAGAATTCCTGAGCCATTTAGTACTTCACTGGTAGCTGTAATACCAACTCTGCTTCAAATCATCAAAATTATTGCTGTACATTGAAAAGAAATACTTGCATCTTCTCTCAAGTCATGTACAAACCAACACTGAAGCACCATATACTTTTACCCACTATGGATCTACCACAGCAGCTCTTCTATAACATCATTTCAAACAGTGCTGAGATTATGTACATTAACTACAAGCAAATGAAACGCTACTCGCAGTTTAGTTACTCAGCTTTTGCATATTCTCTTTTAAAATGTACTAAGACTCAAAAGAGACACGATGATGAGGCAACACCCCACAGGTGTACAGTTCTTAAGGTCAGGAAACTGCACTGTTCAAAGAGGACAGGAACCACTTCTGTAGAAAGGGTTAGAAAGCCTAGTACTTAAAAATCTCATGCCCAGGCTGAGGTATGAGAAACAATTTGGTGCACGAGGCAGCTATATTCTGTGCTGCTTAGTTATTTACATTCCATTTTATTTCCCATGGTTATGAATGTCTTCTTCTTCTCTCCCATAATTTCCTCTTCACCTCAAGGCTTTTCTACTCCTCTGCATCATCAGTATGTTGGGGAAATTTCCCCTAGGAAGCTACGTGGATTTGCAAACTCTACTGCCTCTTTCTTTTGGTCACTGGGAAAAGCCGTAGGGCAAATTGCAGGACAAAGGTATAGTACAACTGATTTGCAACCCAGTTCATATCTGGATCCCTCCATCTTTTGCTTCTTCTGCTTTTCCATCAATTTCTTTCTCTTCTCAAAAACCACTGTAATGAATTTTTATTCTACACATGCTTGTTTTATTCCTGCCAGGGAGCTGCTGGGCAGCCAGTCCCGGTGGCCCATGCTGATGGCCTCCTGTGGAATTCCTGCACTGGTCCAACTGTTCACTCTGCCCTTCTTCCCTGAATCCCCGCCATATCTCCTCATGCATAAAGGAGACCAGGAAGGCTGCAAGAAAGGTAACTGAGTGCTCTGTGTTCCTGTTCCTTCCTTGGCTTTCAGTTTGTGAATTTTCTCTCCCAGTACAGAAAAAAGTTTCTCCCTGCTCATTTCTGAGATGACTCTGAATACCCACTAAGTACATTTTTGTTGTAGTCCTCATAGAGAATACAAAACTACTCCTCTAATACAAAATCTTTCATAATAAGCTGTTATGCTCTGAGCAGTATAAATGGTTAATGCTAAATGACAAATGACAAATGGCAGTTTGCACTGCAGGGCTCGACAGGGCACCACTCAACTCTATGTTGCTGGCTGTGTACCAAGCTTGTACCCTGAGAGAACGAGGAAGGGATTAATGTGGACCCACGAGCAGGGAGGAATCATTGTGCACCTCACTAAGTCCCTCTCTCTGAACAAGCCCCTCTGTGAAAGAGGGGACAGGGCTCTGGAATACACCATAGGACGTCTTTGCCTCACACTGCAGACACAGCCCACACAGCCCACTTAAACTTCTCAGTCACCAAACAAAAGAGACAAATTAACATGGCAGGTCTCACTCTCCTTCTCCTCTACAGCCATAAGGCAGCTTTGGGGTGAAGGCCATCACCAAGCAGAGATTGATGACATCATGAAAGAGAAGGCAACAGTGAAAAACATCAAGATCTTGAGTGTCCTGGAGCTAATGAAAGAACCAGCTATCCGCTGGCAGCTGTACATGATAATTATTCTGACCGCCTCAGTTCAGCTGTGTGGCATCAATGCAGTTGAGTGCATTTCCCCCTTAAAGTCTCAAAACATTTACAGCAGCCTTAAAGAAGACATCATAGCTCTCAAGATCTCCTCTCATTTTTCCCAGGTTTCCCAGGCCACTATGTGTTATCTGCCAACCCTTCTACACAGCAGCAGCTGCTTGCAGAGCTTGGCCAGGCTCTCCATATGACATCTTCTTGCCCAGCTCTTGGTCACTGCTGGAGTTACCATTCTCTGTATTTATTTATTTATCAGCCATTTTTGGCAGCTGCTGTGAGGGCCCAGAATCTGTTCCTACAACAAGCCCACTCTCTCTTGGCAAAATCTACAGCACAATCTTATGTTACTGCTCCCACGAGTCAGCATTCTAAGGAGGACACATGGGATGGCAATATGCTCACTCTACCTTTAGCCATTAAAGAATGCTCACGGTTCTGGCAGCTTCTGCAATCCTCCCTGTCTTCTTCAGATTAGAACTTTTCTGAGATCATTTTGAAGCCACAGCTTTGCAATTTTCTGCATGATTCTTCCACGTCTAACTTCACGCTGCAGCAATATCTGCGAAGGAAACACACAGTTGAGTCTAACACAGTTCAAACTGAAATCTGTATCATCTTAGCAAATCTCCAAATACAGAAGAGATACTTTAAAAGAAAAGATGTCTGTTTTTCTTCCTCATGATTCCATAACCCACGCTCTTCTTTCTTGAGAAGGAAGAGTATGTCCTACAACGCTGTTCTTGGATGGGCTCCATAAGTGACAATATAACTGGCTGTTTATGAATGCACCTAAATGAGGTCTATGCAAACCTAATTACAGCAGCTGGAGATCTGTTTATCACAGAACTTTATCTTTCATCAAATTAATTAATTTGATAATGTTTTACAATGTTTTTGTCTGCCAATAAAGTGAATACTACCAGAAAGAGTGCACAACTCTTACTCAAAAGCCGAGCTGCATGATCCTTGGCTGCCAGCTCCTATCCAGGTCAGTGTCACACACAGACATGGGTAAGAAATGATATTCTTTCTTCTCTTACTGTTCTGTGTTTGTTGGTTTTTTTTTCTCCTCTAGATTTATTTTTATACTTTTGAAGTCCTCCAGGCAGCTGGCTTTGAGGAAAGAATGGTCTACTATATGACCCTCTCTATCGGACTTGCAGAACTCTTAGCCACTGTAGTCTGTGTAAGTTAAGTCATGTTACTATGGGAATGCATCACTGTTTGCTTTTCTGGCACTGACACCAGCTGTGATTTCTGTCCCTCAGAGCTCCATCATTGAGCGACTGGGCAGGAAAACACTCATAAGAGGAGGCTACTTCATCATGGGTTCACTGCTAGCTGTAATCACAGTGACCCTCTCCCTACAGGTGAGGAAACTCTTCTCCTGGTAGTTCTCTTTCCATTATCTATTCTGTTCTATTTGTACCTATGCTCATAGGTAGAAACGTGCTTCTGAGAAAGGAATGTGAAGCTCAGAAGTTCTCAAATAACCCTCTGCACATAGGATTAATCTTTCTCTCAGCAAATACTGTCTGCACTCCTGCCTCCCTTTAAGCAAGACTATAGCAAGGAGGGCACAAAGCACAGAGAAGGTAGCCTTGATTCCTGATATCATCAGGCTGCAAACACTGAACACTGGTCAGCACCGATCAAAATGCAGTCATAGGGAAACTGTCCTTTCTAATTATGCATTTCTTAATAAGTTACAATTAACAATTAAAAAACCAGACTCTTTGAAGTTCAGCTTTGCTGCAGATTTCCCTGGGAATGCACATACTGGTTCATGGACTGTAGAGCATTTCAATTTTTTATTACCATGTCAGTGATGTAATTTCTTCAGAAACAGTTCTCCTGGGTTACCAGTATTCATCTCAGAGCTGTTCAGTAGATACTACTGCAAAATTAACATTGAAGCAAGGTGGCAGCAGACTTCCATTTCTGTTTCAATCATGAAGGGTCTTGGATATAGGAGAGACCTTTTCCTAAAGCACTGTGTCCTATGCCTTCTTGACTAAGATCTACTCCTTTTCAGTAGAAATTGTTCTAGCTATTACCCTGTCAAAAGCAAAGAAAGATATAACTTGGCCTTCCCATATCTCTAAGGGTTAGGGGAAGCACTGTGGGATCAAGGAGAAAGGAGGACATGGTGGAAAAGTACTACTCAGACATCCTTTATTTGAAGGCATCTAAGCTGTTGCTCTGCATCAGCAAACTTGATTGTCTGCACACCTAACAAAAATCTCAGGGCTCTGTCCATAGGAAGAAGGATTCACATTTCTCTTCCAGTTCTCACACACCATATGTTTTTTATCGAAGTAACAGTGTCAGAAAACTTTTCTAACCCAGAGTTATTCACAGATTTCACTCATAAATTGTTTTTTTCTTTGTTTTGTCGTGTTTTCCCAGGATTGGTATTTCTGGATGCCATACTGCAGCCTCTGTCTGATTATCTTATTTGTAGTTGTCTTTGGGCTTGGGCCAGGTGAGTACTTCATTCCAAAGAAGTAAAAGAATCAAGTCATGTTCCCTTACAAATATGGCTGGGGAAATATTGCATTATATAGCATGCAGCATTTCACAAAGGTGAGTTCATTTAACCTGACCTTGTAGTCACATAAGCATCGTGGGTCCAGTCAGTGGCCAGAAACTGCAATGCCATCAGGTTTGAGTTTTTATAACGAGAGACTGATGAAAAGAGAGAGCAAAAAGTATTCACCAAAAAATCATAGAGAAACAGAGTGGAAGTAGATTTTTTAGAAACAATTAAAAAAAAAGAAGAGAGAAAAAGAAACCCAAGGATACTTTTAAATTCCTTGTCGTATACTCTCACATTGTATCCCACATAAACAGCAGCATAGATGACCTACTTCAGATTAACTCTTTTCCTAATTTATACTACCAACTCCTTGTGAACTTAAAAAGCTTATTTATTTTTAAAATACTTGCCTTCTCACACAGTAGGTGAAATTATTTACCTAACTCAAAGCCAGTCAAAGTTCTGCGACTTCAAGATCATAACTGAAACGCCCAGGAAGTGAATCTGGAAAGACTGCTTATCACTGATCTAACAATATCATACTGGGAATTCTTGCTTGTAGTAATAATTGGTATTTCACTCCTATGCAGCTTTTTTCATGAGAAGATGTCAGATTTTTTGAAATGCTAACTGCTCAATTCTTAAATCTTCCCAATAAAATTTGTTTGAAGAAAGTAATATTGAAATAAAGCAATGTCTAACAGTTTATAAGATGCCACAAACAGTTTCTTTTCTAAAAGAAAAGAGTCTCTTGAATACCGGCCAACAGCAGTAGCATCTTTTTGAAGATCCAAACCTTCAAATCAAACACACTGAGAAGTAAATCTTACTCCTCTTCCTTTTTAGGTGGTGCCACAGTTTCCATGAGGGTTGAAATTTTCAATCTGTCCTGTAGACCACCCGCCTTTGTGATCAGTTCTGTTTTCAATTGGCTGGGTGTCTTTGTGATTGGAACAACCTTCCCATTCATCGTGGTGAGTGACACCCCAGGGCGCTCCCCAGGGAAGCCATGCTCCAGAGCTGGCCATGGGAGTTGGAAGAAGAGCAGCAGGAGACGTCCTGAGAATGTGACAAACACAAAGATGTGCTCATCTTGCTCTCTTTCTCACTCTGCTCTTCCCTGCAGGAAGGACTCAAGCACTTCTGTTTCCTCATCTTTATAGGGGTACTTTTCTCTTCAGCAACGTTTTTCCACCTGTTCCTTCCAGAAACAAAAGGGAAGTCAATTGTGGAAATAACAGAAGAGTTTGATAAGCTAAACTTCAGAAAGAAGCATGTTCCAGCAACTCCAAACCATGTCATGGAGGAGGGTTACACCTTCTGCACCAGGCTGTGACTGGCTGGTACAGAGGTAGCAAGCATTCTTAAAAGGAAGAAAGAAAATACATTTGTTGTTCTCTGGTTTGTATGTTGGTCAAATGGACTATCAGCTTTTATTATCCATCACCTACGAGGCTTTTCCTTTGCCAAAACAGCACGGTTCTAAAGCACTCCACTCTGGGCAGCTTAGAAAAGGGATGATGGCTTATATCAGCGGAATAGACTCATCTAACTCATGCACATCTTGGCTCAACTTGCTGATGTGTAAATCTCTTCTATAATGGAGCAATTAATACACACTGAAACTGCGTGTAGAATTTCTAAACATTCTGCTGACCACACAGAAAAAGAAGACTTATGGTCCCTTCTCTCTCTCTGAGTCATGAGTTTGTATTTACAACCCTGAAATAGCAATAGTAAAGTTCTTGGCTTGCTATCTCTGGCTAGATTTCAATTCACAACAGATTAAAGAAAAAGAGATAACAGAATAGGACAGAGTCTTTGTTTCTTTAGACTGAACAACCACATCTTTCCAGATTCCTGTACTTAATGCCACAATTTCCTTCTGTTATCAGACTTTCACTCTAGTTTGTCAAAATTCAGAGCTTTTGGATTTTAAACTTTCGATATCAGCAGCTCTCCTTGCTGAGAATTGCATTGAATTATTTTATTTAAAATAAAAAAAAAAAAGAAAGAAAATCCATCACTTGATTCTAAAATCAGATTTATTCACAAAATGGATAAAGAATGAGTAAAAAAATTCCTATACAGCTTTATTTGTTTCAGTGGCAATACAGCTAATGAAATCACAGATGGAAACCCACTGTCAGAAAACAGAAGCACGGGGAGTCCTTTCAGATACTCAGTGCTATCGCCCCGTCAGCACCATCACTCTAAGGCTGTTGCTACCCCTCCAGGATCAGAGTGCCCACAGTTACCTTGAGGGCAGTGAAACACAGAACAATATGCAGTGGAGTGCAATATGCAAAGTAAAATCTACTCCCTAGATGTGCATAATAAAATAAATGTTCCTTCTTATCTCTGATACTGCTTTGACTGGTGTGTTTACTTCAACTCCAATGTCGGCTATTCAGAATATGAATTCTGCTGTTCATCTTAACTGCTGCTTACCTTTCATTGGAGATGTTACACATAATAAAAATGGCAGATGAACTTGGAATAATACTTCTGGCTTCCACAAGTGTTTCTTTCCCAACAATAGGACATCCCTCAGGAACAGCTGACTAGAAAAAAACTATTGGTGTGCAGATCCTTCCATGACTGGGATTTTTTGTTGCTTGTTTTGTACTGAAGAACACTTCAGACTTCTCACTAAAAGATAATCTATGAAACATGGAGAATCTCTAGAATGAGAAAAGCCCCAAAATTTTGCAGTGTTCTGTATATGTGTATATATACACCCAGGCTGGATGGGGTTGTGAGCAGCCTGGTGTATTGGGAGGTGTTCCTGCCTACAGCAATGGGGTTGGAAGTAGATGCTCTTAAGGGTCCTTTCCAACCAAACCATTCTAAGATTCTATGATTCTATGTATAACAACATAAATAGAAACTAATGACTATTAGTCATTTGGAGACAAGTCTTTCCTAGTAGAAATCTCAACTTTGGTAAAACAGAATTATCTTTTCCTAACCCGTCAGTCTGAGCACACACTTCAGTGCAACAATACCCCAAATCTTTGGAAACATAAGCAGAGTGTCATCATGTAGCACTGCTGGGTTGACTCTCCAGTGAGCCACTCCTCTGATCTGTTATTCATTAGATGTTATTGGGAAAGTCTTCTCCATATGATCCTTAACAGGAACTGAGCGGATGCCCTATGGAACATTAATGTGACAACGAAGTGGAACAGCTATTTGGAGCACAGGTCAACCTTTGCCTGTGCTCAGTGGAGCGAGCTGCATTCTGGCAACAGCCTGGTCAAGGGATGAAAAAGCAAAAATGTATAGTTTAAATATAAAGCTGGAGTATCTGCAATAACTCATAGCATATAACACCTTGGGTAGCTATACTGGCACTTCTGCTCACCTATTTAAGCCTTAGCAATCCAGGTGTTCTGCGATATTTTGGGGTCAGAATGAATAAAAGTTGCCAAAAGCCTCCTAAACACACCTCCCAGTTATCTGAAACAGAATGACTGCAGCATATTGATGATACTTCAAAGTACTGTGGAAGTCCAGCCCAGAGAGCCAGAGGCGCCGAAGAGGTGAAGCACTCGGAAGCATCAGGAGCAGCACACGTATGCATTCAGAGCCATCAGCTGATGTGTAAGGATTGTCTCAAATACTGACTCTGAGGCAGCTACAAAAACTTTCAAATGGGATCAGAGAAGTGCTGCTACACAGACACTAAGAACAGACCTGGGCTAGTTAGACCTTATTTGAGAAGGCTCAGGACAGCTTTGCATATGTGTGTCTTGCATGACTGTAACACTGCATTTTCCCCCAGTGCCATCTAAGCAAGGCAGATACTAGCAGCTAGCATAGCATTTCTTTCCTTTGGCAGATGCATGGTATGTCATTCCAACTTTGCATGACTTTCCAGAAAAATAAATTAATTCCTAGCATCAAAGGGATGGTCTCACTTGTGTTCTAACAACAGCTTCACCGCTGGAGATCTAATCAGAAAACAAAACAAAACACTGTGTATTCTCAACTTACATCAGAAGACAGTTTCACTATGAGAACAACATAAAGCTGAGGAAATTGGCCAGGTGGCACTACATCTCAGATGTCAGCTGGAGAATTGGTGAATATTCTTTGCAGGTGATCTATTTTGTAGTGTGACTATTAGCATACAACAATTTCTTTCTGATTTCTTCATCTTCTTTAGCTGAGGTACAAAATGTAGATGATATCTAAGCCATTTACCAGCTTAACACATCTAAAACTATTTTTGCCTTGAAATAAACGAAGTTAAAGACTGAAAACATTCTGTCTGATGTAAGAGACAACACTCCAGCTCTGAAGGTTACTGGCCTGATGTTGAATCTTCTTCAGCAAAGAAAAATCCAGTACTCCTAACAGCTGCTTGAGCCCAATGTGCCATTGTAGAATTGTTAGGCTCTTTCCAAAAGTCCTGTAGATATCACTATCCGAGCCCCATTTAAAATTCCCAACAGATAACACTGCCTCTAAGTTTCTTAGTTTCTACTGAGAACTAAGCAAGTTAAGGCTATTGCAGCTCTTTCTAAAATCAATGTCTCTGTTACCCATTGCCCAAGGACAAAAGAGAGTTCATAATGTATACAGGTTCCTGGCGAGTGAGACCGTCTTGGTTACTTGAGCTAGACATAACCATTGGTTGAAATATTTAATCCAACAATTCTAAACTTTGTACAACAGCTGAAATAAGTGTAATTAACTCAAAAACCTTCTAACTAAACTTTAACTTCAGTAATGTGGGACTAGTTCACTGACGCTGCTATTGTGCAATGCGAGCTTTCAGTTCCTCTGGCAGGTACCAGTCAGTAAGCAACAGGAATCAGCTCTTTCGTTGGAGATGGCCACCTTTTTCTCTGACCTGGTGAGTAAGTGTCACTTTCTCATGTCCCTGACATTTAAAGGGCAAGGCTAACGTGATCCAGATTTCTTAAAGATTATAAGCTCTTTTAGGACAACGACCATCCTTCTCTTCTGCATTTAAACATCGCCAAGAGGAATGGGGTTGGGGCATGGAAAGGTCTTTTTCATGCAAGAAGACAAAATAAAAACTAACAAAACTTCTCGCAGTTCCACCGTCTGACAAAGCTGTTGTACTTTTGTCTTCTGAATTACTGAAAACTAGCAGGCGCTCTGATTACTTTAACGACTAACTCTGAAGTAATGAATGGATTAACTGTGCTGCAAAAGGCTACAATACACATGACAAGCTGCAAAAGAAACAGGCTTCCTCATTTCATCCATCCATTTAATATCATCCATCAGGAGTTACCATGGTCTTAAGAGGGGAAGAAATTCTAACAAGTATTTCTTACTCTATTTCTCAACTTCCAATAAGTACTAAAATTCTGAATTTCTAAATCTATCATGCACCCATTAAAAAAAAAAAAAAGGAAGAGTGAGAAGGTGAGTTAACTTTTGTTGATTAGCAAATCCATTGAATCTGAGACAGAACTTTGAAGGAAATTCAGAATCTCCTGATCCATTACTTCTCTATTCTTGTCACGAGATAACTTAGGAAATTCAGTAGTGGAGAAATGAAGTAACGGGCCCTAGAAAGATGGATCTAAGAACTAGAATAAGGAGAGATCTAAATATCATCCAAGCCACCATTATACACATTTACTTTACTTTGCTCCTGTCTGATTGTATTTTATTCCAGTTTTTCTTCATCTAGGCACTGATCTCCAGGAAACTGCGAGCTTATGAAGCTCATGATAGGAAAAGGGGGAATGGCTTTAATATAAAAGAGGGGAGATTTGGGTTAGATGTTAAGCAGAAATGTTACTCAGAGTGTCGAGGCAGAGCTGTGGGTGCCCCACAGCCATGGCAGGGAGTTGGGGCTGGGTGATCTTTAAGGTCCCCTCCATCCTAAGCCATTCTGTGATTCTACGATTACGATCTGACTTGTAAAGAACACAGAGCACAGTGTCTTCTATACAGATCAGTAGTATCACATATCCAGATACATCTGGGTAGTTTTGTGTTAGGGAGAGTTTTGTGTTAGTGCAATTACAAAGGCTATTCCAAATTACCATCTTCTCCTTTTAGCCCATGCCTTTCTGAAAAAGGCAAATGTTAAAAGTATCTTTCCTTTATTAAGCTTAAGAATAACAACAAAGTCAGAAATGAAAGCAGTACATTAATGTGAAGTTGATGGAGTACTTTATTTTCACTTTGCAGGTTCAGTTCCAGGGGCTACTTCAAATGGTCATAGTGCTGGGAATTGGAGGTAGTTTCCCATATGGATTCCATATTTCTGTCATCAACTCCCCCTCTGTGGTAGGTAGCAATCTCCCTGGCCAGTTTCAAGATTTGGGGGTCTTGCTTTCCAATTCATCAATCTGCCTGGTGCCATGCACGTGATCTTCTCTCCTGTATGCTACTTACAGGCAAAACATGGCCAACTACACAGATGTCAAAGTCACAGCATTACACCGTCAGCACCATTACTGTCTTCCACGTGTATAAACCATGCTTCTCATAGCTAGAGCCCATAAATGAGAGAGCAACCTTGCATTAACCTGTCTGAATTTGATTTGTAATTTTACTTCTCCTTCCTTCCTCAGCCCTTTTTCTCCTGATTTAATTGTAAAGGATTACCCACCAAGGCCTTCCTACAATTCCTAGATTTCATCAAATATAACTTTCTAAAATGGAGAAGAATGACAACAGCACATTTTCTGTTTTTCAAGCTTACTGACTGACACTAATTTGAAGATTTTGAAATTGATCTCAACTAACCTGTTTTACTCTGAAAGTTAATCTCAAAAGAAATCTGGTATTAAGTTAATCTCAAAAGAAATCTAGTCTGAGTAGAACTGAAGTACAGCAGCCAAATAAGATGAAGGAATCTGACACCCATTATCCAGTCAAAAATCATTTTCCTTTTCAGCACATCAGGAACTTTATTAATGAAACCTGGATGGAGCGACACGGCTCCCCCCTCCATCCAGAGACAATCATGCTGCTGTGGTCCTTCATTGTGTCTGTCTTTGGGATCGGAGGCTTCCTGGGGAGCCTCTGCTGTGGCTACCTGACTACCAGATACAGAAAGTAAGTGTTTCTAAAGCTCAGTAGCTCAAGAGTCCAAGTACGGCAAGTACAGGGAAATATCAAGGTGAATGAATAACCCTTTTCTTCTTGGTTGAAGCAGCCTGACTGCAGACTAACCTGGTCGTGTATATGGGCACATCCAACACTTTCTAGCTGAAAGATCTACCAAGCTTTACAAACACCCAAAAAGCAGCTGTAAAAAAGTCTTCTGCTGTGATGTGCTGCGTGCAGCCTCTTTCAACACCTGGACAACAGCATGCAGAAGACATTCTTACATGACAAAGAGCCAGATTTCTACTTATGTACGGCTG